GGGCGGCTGTCCCGCCTCCAGCACAAGGTGTCTGAAGGGATCAGAGGCACCTGAGTGCACTGTTAAATGCATGGTGCCAATGCACGATGCATTATTATCCATCACGTCCTGATTCACAATCTGCCTCCCCCCATTTAGGACCTAAATCTCTTCCTTTTTTGAGAACTTCACAGATGCCTCATCTATTGTATTAGCCATTTAACCTTTCTGTAGATTTTCAGGATTATCTCTCTCTAATCATCATCATATGCAAATTTGTATCTTCAGTTCTTTTTGTGGCCTTCACTTGCTCTCCTTTTCCTTTTCTTCTCTCTCTCTCATTCGTTCATGCAATATTTATCAAACAAAGATTTTACTTATGGTGCTCGTCCATCATGCTCTCTTTGGCATTCAAAAAGGTTAGCCAGACCTGGAGCTTGCCTTTAAGAAGCTTGTAGTTTGCAATCAGAATGGTACAACTGAACTGAGCCTTTTTTTTTTCTAAACACATAGACATTCTGCCCTTTTTTTTTTTGAAAGCCTTAAATATATAGCCAAGCTCAAAAGAAAAAACAAAAAAGTGCAAGAACAGGGAATTCACAGCCAGAGTGGTTTAACTTGGAGCTAAAGCTGCAGTTGGCCCACAAACTCCTGGATGTGATAAATGCCTTCGGGTGGGTATCAGAACACCAACTGGAACAGCAGACGAGAACTGGAACTCCAGCAGGGCTGGGGCCTGAAATAGAGCCCCTGCATAGAGCCAAGGCTCTGGAAAGATTGTTCTGTCTACTAACAAGGAAGGAAAAACTCAACAAGCCAGCCAGCCAGCAGCCCAGGGACATGGCAAGGAAGCTGAAAGAAATAAGAAGCACAAGCTTGCACCACGTCAAGTGTGGGGTCTAAATTTAAACTACACAAGTCTCGCAAAAAAGCATTCAAGCCGAGAAATTAGCATAAAAACTGGTCCAGAACAAGTGAAATGCCTCTACCCTGACAGTTACAAATGCTAAAACTTCCTACAGAGTCCCTCCCACAGACAGTGCCCCTGGGATTCACCCAGAAGACAAATATATGCCAAAACAATACATGGTAGACCTGCATATTAGCATCCAAAAAAAATTGAACAAAAAAAAATCGGAGAAACTATAAAATAAATACATTAAAAGTATTTAGAAGTATAATAGGTAAAGATATAATTTAGAGAAAGGAGATATAATAACAATAAAGTAAGAAGTATATCATGCAACATGAATGTTTGAGAAAGAACTAAATATAGCATTTCTAGGAACCTAGGCATGAAAAATATTACCATTATAATTAAAACACTATAGACATTAAATAGATTGGACACGGGAAAAGAAAAAATATTTGTCAGGAACTAGATCTGAGAAAATCACCTAGAATGCCAGTGCAATGATAAGAAGATAACTAATATGAGAGGGAAGTTAATGTGGAAGACAAAATGAGAAGGTCCAACACACTGCTAATAGGAGTTCAACAAGAAAAAAATAGCATGAATGGGATAGGGATGATACTTAAAGAAACAATGGCTAAGAACATTTCAGAACTGAAGAAATACCTGCATTCTCTAAATCAAATGCAGATATGGAACCCCAAGCAGAAGAAATAAGAATCAGTCTGCACCTCGGTACTTCACAGTGAGACTGCAAACATCAAATTAACACAGGAAAATGTTTTAAGCTACCAAAGAGGAAAATGCAAGTCGCCTACAAAAGAACGACGATTAGACTAAGAGGAAATTTCCCAGAGGCAGCACTAAAGGCCCAGGTGTAGTGGAATACTGTCTTCACAGTACTGAACGTCCTTAGCTGTCAAATTAGAAATCTGTAACTTTTAAACTATCATTCAAGAATGAAGGTGAAATAAATTTTTCAGACAACTTACTAGTAAGACTGAAAGATAAACATTCAAGGACTGAAAGAATTCCCCCCCAAAAAATGGTCTTCAAATAGAAATTAAACCCAGAAGTAAGGGAAATGCCAGAAACAGTGGTGGCTAAAGAAACATATTGGTAACTCTAAACAGACATGGGGTGTGGATATGTAGGAGAGACAAAATTCAGGGCCGATTTGAAAACAAGCTGGAATTTAAATACTAAAGAGCAGTAACATGGAAGACGGAGAGCAGTAGACCAAAGATAAAGTATACTACATTTCTGTTGCTCATGGAAAGGCTACTGATTAGCTTTAGCTGTCTAAGTATGCAAGTTCACAACTTAATTATTTAAAGAGTAAAAATAAAATGTATGCCTTCTAAACCCAGTCCAGGAGCAAAGAGGGGGATTTTAAAAAACAACAAACTGCATCAGTCCAATAAAAGGAAGAAAAGCAGAAAGAAAGAAGCAAAGGAGGGGATAACATTAAAATGGTAGAAAAAAATCAGTATCAGTAATCAAGATAAATGAAAACAGATTAAAACTGAGCTATTCAAATCCAAAGACTTTAAGATTTTTTTAAAATCTAGCCTTTTGCTGTTTATAAGAGACATGTGTGAAATATAATTATGTGGGAAGTTTAGAAATAAGGAACTTTACAAAAAGGGCTTACCAGGCAAATTCTAAAGACAGAGCAAAAGAAAGAAAGAGATATGAAAGAAGGGAGGGAATAATGAAGGAATAATATGAGTGTCACTAAAAAATTTTAAGGCAAAAAATATTTGGACTAAAGATGGTATTAGTGTCCTAGCTGGGTGGCTCAGTTGGTTAGAGGGTCATGTCCCATACACCAAAAGGTTGCAGATTCAATTCCCCATCAGGGCACATACCTAGTTTGTGGGTTCAGTCCCCTTGTCAAGGTGTGAAAGGAAGACAGCTGATCAATGTTTCTCACATCAACGTTTCTCTCTTAAAAAAATAGATATGTGTGTATTTGAAGGATTAAAAATAAAATAATTTTTTTAAAAAATGTTATTAGTAACAGCAAGAGAAAAAGGCTTACAATAAAATGAGTAAAGATATTTAGAGACAAATTACCAAACAAAAAAAACCACATCTTCAGAAAACATTTGAAAAATATTCAGCCTACTGGTGATAATGGAAATGCAAATAGAATCAGCAGTGTGCTACCCTTTCAACCCATCAGATGACAAAACATTTTAAATTGGATAATGACAAGTATTGGTGGGGAAGTGGAATAAAGGGACATTCTCGTCTCCTGCTGGTTAGAAGGAAAGCGACCTGCACAGATCTGCAGCTCATCGTCTTCGTTCTGTCCCAGAGGAGTGCTCAGGGATGTTCCTTTAGCATCACTGATAATAGCAGTAAAGAGGAAACAACCCAAGTGCCCACCCGTAGTGGAATGGTTTAGCGAATTGTGATACAGTCACACAAGTGAAACTTGTAGCACTGAAAATGAATGAACTCAGGAGTTATCTGTGCTAAGATGGATACATCTCAGAATTATAACATTGAATAAGAAGAAGTTGCAGACGGAGGTACATATCTAGTTTCAAATTTACTAAAACAAAGCAGTACTGTGTGCTATGTTTATAGATACATACCTGTGCAGGAACAGTCACATCTGAGAGGGAATGATAATCAGCCAAAGTGAATGTATCCCTTGAACGAGGAAGACGAATGGGATCAGGGAGGAAGACACAGCAAACCTGAGCTCTGTCATGTTCCATTTGTAATGATGTGAATCAAATATAGTAAACATATTAGCATTTATTTGCATTGTTAATTCTGGATTGTAGATGCATGGGTGTGTTTGTGTGAGTGTATGTATTTAAAATACTCCCTTCATTGAAAATAGCTTCCGGCTTATGAGAGAGGAAAGACGTCATCATCATAATGCAGAGCAGAATGTTCTGGGTTGCATTGTGAGTTCTTTACAAACGGCTTTCAGAGTTGAGATGAGAGAGATTTCTGCCAGTTGAACCCAAGAGTGCTTCCTGGAAGAGGCGTCACAGTGTTGCTTTCCTACAGATGCCCTGCCTTCAGTTATTCATAGACATCTATCACACACCATGACCTTTTTTGTTCATTTCTTCGGCCTTTGTCAAGTCCTTTCCCATTTTTCACTGTTTTTGTTTTTCACTAATTACATTCTGCTCAATATAAAGTAGTAGTTACCCAGGGCCTCCCCCAAATTACTATGAGCCAATACATCTAAAAACCTGTAAGTGATGCCTTACTTTTAATGGAAAGAGGAAATAATGCCTTCTATCGTAACATAATGTGGATTTTTTATGACAACATTGGATTTAGTGGAGGAAGAGGATTGGTTGGTTGTTCAAATGAATGGAAACATTTGGCAAACCCCCACATCGCTTTCTCCATTTACCAGAAAAATTCTAGTCAAGGTTCTCACCTTTTCAAATTGTGTCTAATTTCCCTTTTTAAAGGTGCTTCTTCAAACAGTTAACAAACTTATTTCAAGACCTCTGTAAGTGTGTGTTGCGGGCGGGGGGGAGAGTCCAGGTGGAAACTGGATTTGGTCATCACTATCCTGTGTTCATAGCATCCAGCACAGTCCTTCCAAACAGTGAGTGCTTGGACTCTGCTGACACGGAACGGAAGCCACATCACAGTGGCTTCTCTGCTCTCTGGATGCCCTCACTACAACAGCGCACACCACAGAATGAAAGCACGGCAAGCCATTCCCAGTCACTGGGCAAGGCACCCAGTTTGTTTTTTTAAATATATTTTATTGATTTTTTACAAAGAGGAAGAGAGAGGGATAGAGAGTTAGAAACATCGATGAGAGAGAAACATCGATCAGCTGCCTCCTGCACACCCACTACTGGGGATGTGCCCGCAACCAAGGTACATGCCCTTGACCAGAATCGAACCTGGGACTCTTCAGTCCATAGGCCGACACTCTATCCACTGAGCCAAACCGGTTAGGGCCCAGTTTGTCTTTAAAATGCACATCTGCTCCGTGTTGACACCCAAAGGAAGACTCTGACTTAAACCGAGCTCGTTAGGCTGCCTGGAGCTGCCAGACTGGGTTTGACAAGGAACCTTGTTTCTCAGACCTTTTTTCCCTTTTCCTTGGCAGAGAGAAGATGCACCAGTCTGCCATGTATGAGCTGTGCCAGGGCATGCACCAGGTCAGCCTGCAGTTCGTCCGACTGCAGCTCACCTTTGAAGAATACACCATCATGAAAGTGTTGCTGCTGTTAAGCACAGGTAAGCCGATGCCCGCCCAGGCACCTTTCTACCTGGTCAGGTCATCTCCCCTTTGGGGAGTAGCCTACGGAGAGTATCAGGTAGTTGGTACAAAAAGGAACAACTTGAGCTGGGAGGAGGGCTTTGGCCTTTGATGAGCTAGGTAACTTGCAGAGGCTAAGGCTTGGGACATATGAAAGAGCACGTGCCTTCAGTCCTTCCTTCATCCGACCTCAAATGTTCACTAGGTGTCTGTGATGTGTGTGGTGGGATTGGGCAGGTCGGGAAGGATTGGGTAACTGAGGCAGGGTCTCTGCCCTCAGGGAGTTTTACTCTAAGGTAAGTTTAGACATCATTGCAATACATGTGGAAGGGAATGGCTACTGTGATAGAGTGTCATGGTGGCTCATGGGAGGGAAGGGCATGGTCAGCTCCGGGGGTCAGGGAGGGACTCGGGGGGAGTGGATCTTGGGGAGCTTTGGGAGGGTTCCGGGTTGGCTATGAGGAAGGAGATGGCATTCCCAGCAAGGAACCGGGAGAGTGAGTGTGGAAATGTGGCAGAGCACTTCAGGCAATAGCACTTACTTCTGGGGAGTTGTGTTGTTAACTTTTAATTTTTATTGTACTTAAGTCTTTAATTTTCCAAGGTGCATCTGGTTATATTGGACTGGGGAGGAGCGGGGAGTGAGGTTGGATGTGGCCTGGACCCGGATACTCAGTGCCTGTGGGAGACACCTGGCCTCTGCTGGGCGGGCCCAGAGGACAGCCCTGAAGGCTCTGCGCCGCGGGGCGACGTGAGCAAAGCCGTATTTGTGGCTTTAGGAGGAGGTGTCTGGTGGTGGCCTGGATTTGAGAGGAAAGGAGGTGGGAGAGGCCAAGACAGGATCTATCCTGTCTGGAAGCACAGAGACCTGTGAGGCTGTTGAAATAATGGACTGGCTAATGGTGGTTGGTTGACGAAGGACAGGAGCAGGAAGAGCAAATGAACATGGTCTGGGTCAGAAGTGAGCACAGAGAAATGACGAGGATGGCAGTGATACCATTAAGAGAAGTGTGTTAACATTGGTACTTGGAAAAAGTTTTATGGAGTAAAAAATGAATTTTATCTTTGGATAGATTCATTTTTACACATATCTTAAGCGAGAGGCCAAAAGAAGGAGAAAATTTGGGCCTGGCACTCAGAAGACTGGTTTGGGTATTGAGATATAAATTTGAAATTATCTTTACGGGAAATTGTAATCTGGACTCAGCTGGTGAGCGAGGTTGCCGTGCCACAGAAAGAGGAGACCAGGTCCAGTTGGCCACGTGCAGGGGGATGGCACGGGCGGAAGGGACAGACACAGCTGTCAGAGGGGAGGTGTACAGCGTGGAAGCCAAGACTCGGTTTCCAACAGGGGCGAGACGAACCACCTGCCTTGCAGAGACGCCTGCCAGCGTTGACCATTAGGCGTCGGGCAGGTGCCAGATGGCCAGGGACTTTCAGATGGATGGGAAGCTCCTTTACGCTTCTGGAACCAAGTAGGACTTGATGGCATAAGATGCCAGAAGAGATGGGTCAGAATTAGCCTTGGCAAAGACAGGGAGCACCTTTCCTTGGGCAAGGGCATGTTCAAAACAGGGGAAGGAATTTGAGGAAACTCAGTCAGATGAGGGGCAGACCAAGAATGGTGGCAGGAGACCGTCTGGAGAGGTAATCCCTCCGCCACATGCCATGGCCACTGAGGTCACTCAGACATGCTCTGGATGCCAGCGGTGCCAGGGCGAGTGGCGTGGACCTCAGAGGAGCTGTAGTTGTTGAGTGACCGACCAGCTCTGGCATCCGAGTGTGCCTAGCCCTTCCATGGCCAGTGAATCGGGCTGGGGAGAAGGGCCGTTTGCAACAGAGTCATTTGGAAGAAAGGGGCATCAGTAGCCAAGGTGACAAGGACACAATGGACAAGAAGAGATGTATTTCCAGCCAAGAGTGCTTGGCCTACAGAAGAGTGAGCCTCAGACAAGGTCCAGCAGGAGCAGGGATGTAGTGGTGACCACACATCAGAATCCACTTCCCATATGTTTAGCACCTTGCAGTTTTACATGATATAATTGAATGCTAGAACAGCCCTATGAGATTGATACCAATTCTGGAGTTGACAGAACAGGCACACAGTGTTACTGTTCAGTACCCTCTGTGAGTTAGGACTCACCCAGGACTGTGGACTTCATGCCCAGGGCTGCCCGCACTGTCCCAGGAGCAAGGAGCAGGGAGCAAGGGCTGCAGAGGCAGCTCGTGGCGCCTGACAGCCTCAGGGACAGTGGGCTGTGAGTGGGCTGAGTGGACTCCGCAGAGGGGGCCATGGGCAGCCTGGCAGGGGCGCGCCGCACCTCACGGCTGTGTTTTGTTTGGCCAGGGCAGGATTTTTAGGTTGCTTTTGGCCTTTTGTCTTATTTTCATAGAATTTGACCGCCAGCGGCTGGGCATGTTCTCTCCTTTGCCACAGGCCCTGCCATCCCTCACTGTTTACATTCAGACCCTCAGCTGCCTGCAAGGCAGGATCCAGGCTCTCGGTCCCTCCTCCCCACCTCCCTGGAATGTAACCTTGGAAATTGAGACTCAAGTCAGTGATCTCATTCCTCTTTCCAATCTCTGTCATTAACCTTCACTGGTTAGAAACGTGTTTTAAACACACACACACACACACACCCCAGATGATAGAAAATTTAAATGAAATCTTTTTTCTAAAAATTCACGTGATTCTAATTCTTTATAAATTTTGACTACTCAATCTTAATTGGTATCTGACCCTTTTATATACAGGAGTGGACAAAAGTAAGTTGTGAGTACACAAAAGTTTGTCCTTGTATTATTTATTAGTTGGTATTTTCCATATGAACAACTGTAACCTGTTTGCCCACCCCTGCACATTTAATCAGCCAGCCTATAATCAATTCTGATATGATTTTGAAGCTGTCCAGGGTGATGTATTAGCTTCCAAGGAGCTCAGTACTTTGATTTCTGATTTTTTATAGATGCCGGAAAAGCAAAATCAAAAGGCAGAACAAGAATTTTATGAATCACAGGAACTGTGGGCTTTAGTTTGCTCATTTTGCAAACCTGTGGAATGCCTAAGCATCCTTCCTCTTACTTGGGATGTGAGGTTGCACCCCTGATGTCCAGCGAATGAGGAGACTGTTTAGCAGTGACAGCAAGAGTTTTGTGCTCCTTCTGCTCGCAGAGGAGAGCAGACGGACTTCCGCCCGTAGTCTCTGCTCTTCTGCAGCCCCTAGGTTCTGGACGATTTCCAGCAGCCATGCTGCTTAATAAGTAAATTCACAAAATCTGGGCAGACCTCCAAATCCTGAGGTTTTGCTCAAGTTCTCTTTATTTGTGGGTTTGTTTCAGCTTCTAAAAAATCTCTCCGTAAAATTGGTACAATATATTTCAACCACTACAGTTATGTAAAAGTAAAATTCGACACAGGTTGTTCATATTTTGAGAACTTCTGATAACACAGCCATCAGAAATATGAAGGTCTTTGCTTAATCTTCTATTATGTGTCAAATAGTATTGAAATATAGTTGTGAAATGTATTCACTTATTCTAATTTTAGGTAATTTTTTAATGTATAGGATGACACCCATAAATATTTCTAGATTGAAAAACAAAAGTTTTACTCCATAAAATGTCATAACCTCAAAAGTTAATATGTGGATGGGAAATATAGGCTGCTATTTGCAAACTTTCAGTTTCTTTTAGAAAGTTTTAGGTTAACATTAAAATTTTGGTTGAACCAGATCTATAGCTTTAATATTAACGTCCTGGTTATTACCATCCTTTTTTAGTGTTTTTATAGCAAGTTTTTAATTTTAAAGAAAAAAAAAGTTATATAACGGATGGTATTTAATTCTTAATGTGAATGTCAAATATTTGAAACCACAACTAATATTGTGAAAGCCTCAGGAATTGGTGCAGTAGCTATTAGGGACTTATTTCCCCCCACAAAAATAGACAAATCAAAAACCTCACCAATTCAACTCAAGGAGAAGATTATTAATACGTGAAGTTAATTTTGCAAGACAATCCATATCTTTATACAAAAGCACAGGTTTAATTGCAAACAGTGGCATTCCTGGCTTCCAGGGTTGCATGTACTATTCAGAAACGTAGCCATTCTAAAGTGCTGATGACCCTGTCAATTATCATGTATACAGGTTATGATAAAGTAACAAATGTGCTGTGTAATTAAGTGATGGTAAGAGCAGTTTCCAACTCAGAATGTTGTTATCAGCTAGTCACTACATAAAAGAAAACATAATCCTTCATTTTCTACCTTACCAGAGATAAAGATGAACATGGTATATTCTCTTTGTAAGTTTTAGATATTCCCTTGGCTGCAGACTGCCACTACACACAAGCCCCCCTCCCCTCCTCAGGTTATCTGAGAGGTCACATGACAGTACCTCATTGTCATGTGATCTGGCATTGTCATGTGATCTGGGGCAAAGAGAATGGAAAGTGCTTCTTTGTATGCGCATTCTTCCATGGGTAGATGGCCAGTTTCCCCAAGTGTCTTTGATATTTGAACTTGAATATGAAAACATTGCTTTCTAATTCTAGCTCCAGCTTAGATTGTCTGTGGCTCTTCCAGTTGTTCTGGAAAATCAAAGTATGTTTTCCTTCCTCAGAGGTGTTGGCAAGTCAGGATTCATAAAACACTTTGATGACAAGCCACAAGGCCATGAAGCATTGTGGTCAAGAGCCAGGCTTTGGAAACAGACCAAGCTAGGTTTATATGTCTTCTCTGCCATTTATTGTGTCCTTGGACAAGTGTGTAAACCTCCAGTCCTTAGCTTCCTCATCTGTAAAATAAGAGTAATATAATGGTTATGTCATAAGACTGATGTCAAGATTAAGTGAGCTGATATATGCAAAATGTAATAACATGCTCCTGATAAATAGCAGTTATTATTCTTTTGTATACGTATGTGTACAAGAGTTACCAATAGATAACTGCCTTATTTACTGATAAATGCAATTAATTGAGATTCAGTGTCAACCTAAAAGTGGGAACCTAACAATCTCAAAATATCGTAGGCCATTTAACTGCTAAGATGTGAAAACTGTTTTTCATCCTGGGATTTTAAATATCTGTTCTCCTTAAACACAGTTCCCAAGGATGGCCTCAAAAGCCAAGCTGCATTTGAAGAAATGAGGACAAATTACATCAAAGAGCTGAGGAAGATGGTAACTAAGTGTCCCAACAATTCTGGGCAGAGTTGGCAGAGGTTCTATCAACTGACCAAGCTTCTGGACTCCATGCATGATGTGAGTATTGTCCTTTGATGCCTCTTCAATGAAGGGTCAGCAACCACACACTGTTTTCCAAATGAAGTAGGAGAGTTGAGAAAGTTCTTGGGACTTGGGAAGAGTAAAGGTCTGTTATCGAGTGGGAGACAGCTGGAGGTGAGAGCTAACCAGGAAGGAAATTTTCCTCCAGGTCACGTTTGTAACAAACCTCCTTTCAAGCCAAGGGTGTGGCTTTCCCTGGGAGCAGGACCAGAGGTACGTGCGCCACCAGGGCAGAACCCGTGTCCCGGCCCGGGGTCGGGTCAAGTTTCACATTTCTGTGAGCGACTTAGGAAATGTTTGGTTAGTAGACCTGTTTGCTTTCACATTGCTGTGTCCATCTTCTACAACTGTTAATCTAATAACCCAATCTTTTAAAAACATTATTAGTGGTCCAGGGCCAGCATGGATCATCTCAACCTTTGCCAAATTTTGAATCCTATATTCACTGTTCTTCATAGGAGTCACCTTTCTTGTCTTAATGTAAATACAGAAAGCAAATTCTGAGATTGTTTTTTCTAACTTAACCAGTTATAGATGCAGCTGAGGTAGTGGTTCTCAACCTTCCTAATGCCACCCTTTAATACAGTTAGTTCCTCATTTGTGGTGACCACCAACCATAAAATTATTTTCGTTGCTACTTCATAACTGTAATTTTGCTACTGTTATGAATTGTAATGTAAATATCTGATATGCTATATGTGTTTTCCAATGGTCGCGACCCAGAGGTTGAGAACCGCTGGTAGAGGTTTCTACAAAAGATTGATTTGAATTACTTGCTTTATGTCATTTAAAATGTGCTTCTTGTTTCACTTTGTGTATTCTCCCATTCTGGCACAAAAAAAAGAAAGTTGTATACAGTCATGCTAATTTAGTTTTTCACATTTATGAGGTTTTTATACTTTTGGGAGGTAAACTGTATCACCCAAGATTTGCATAAGAAATTCATCTTCAAATATTTCTCTGTTGAGGAAAATGTTGCAGGCTTGATGACTAATATTAGTATTTCTTTTGAACTAATGGTTCATCCTTTAGAAATCTGTTTATGCCAGTGGAACCTTATCTCTGCAGGTTCTTTGATAAAAGAATGTCACTTTGCAGTATTTTGCATGGAAAACCCATTGCCTATCAGGTTGACCTTTGCTTTCTCTGAACTTTTCGTATGGTCTCAGTCAGATGACCAGCAAGTGAATTCAGGGATGGATAGTTCTGCTGATTACCAGTGTCCTAAAGTGTGTGCTTTACTGGGAAATGAAGAATAAGAGAGGATGGCAAACAGGCTTTTGGGGGACACAGCAAAGGACATGAGGAAAGCAAAGCATGGATACAGACCATCTGAGAACAAGGGCACAGTTACTTCCTCCTGGTGGTTGTGTCAAAATCCTTCTGAATGGAGCTTAGAATGGGGCTTTGTGGTTCTTTCTTGATGAATTCTCTTGTTTGTTCAAATGTACGGGCAGGCACAAGTGCAGTATCAAAATGAGTATACAGGTGTCATCACAACATATGACAATAGATGTGTTTTGAAGCAACTTGCATGTAATATAATAGAAGTTACAACTTTTTTCCAACAGCCTTTCAGAATCTTTATGCCTTCAGCAGAGCAGCACAGTAGAAACACTTAGGGGCCAGCCCAGGGCTCCATGTGTCAGTCCATCCTCTGCCAGCTGCTTGTGTGAGCCAGCACAGTGCTGGCCACCAGATAGGAACTCAAGTTGCCAAGTGGCTATATTCTAACTGACGATCTTCTGCAAAATCCCCCAGGGCAAATCATTGTCCTTTTAGTATTTTTTAATCAAGGTATAATTGATACACAATAAGGTAAACATATTTAAAGTGTACCATATGAGAAGTTTGACCCATATATTCACCAAGACAACAAACATGTCTATCACCCCAAAACTTTCCTTGTGCACCTTTTTAACCTTTCTTCCTACCTACTGCTCCCTATTTGCTTTCTGGCAATGTAAATTCATTTATATATTCTGGAGTTCATATAGTGTACTCATTCATATATTCTAGACCTTCATACACATGGAATCATGTAGTATGTAGTCTTTTCTGCCTGGCTTCCTTCATTTAACATGATTGTTTTGAGATCCATCCATCCTTTTGCATACGTTAGTATTTAGTTCTCACTCATTGTTGCGTAGCACCCATGGCACAGATACTTCACATTTTGGTAGTCTAGTCACCCATGGGTGGGAGTGTGGGTTGTTCCCAGATTGGAAACTATTACAGAGAAAGCTGCACTGAACATGTGTGTGCAAGTCCTGAAATGGACATCACTCTCTTTTTCTTGGGTGAATCGCTGGTAGAGGAATGCCTGGGTCATATAGGCAGTGTGTTCCCATTTTTTATGAGACTGCCAAACTCCTTTCCAGAGTCGTCGTACAATGAATCGTACATTCCCTTGACAAGTGAGTTCATATTGCTCCACATCCTTGCTAACACTCGGTAAGATTAGTCTTCCTAGTTGTAGCCATCGCAATAACTGTGTGGTGGTGTCTCACTGTGGTTTTAATTTGCATTTCCCTGGTGACGAATGATCTCGTCATGTGCTTACTTACTGTCGTTATGTCTTCTTTGGTGTAGTGTCTGTTCAGCCCTTTGGCTCATTTGAAAAAAAGAATTGCTTGTTTTCAATTAGAATGTTGAGTTCCTATAGTCTAGGTAGAATTCCTTTATAAGATATGTGATTTGCAGCCTATGCTTCTCTTTTCATTCTTTTAGCAATGTCATTGGAAGAGCAGTTTTCCATCTGAATGAAGCCCAATTGATTATTTTTTCTTTTATGAGCCATGTTTTGGTGGTGTATCTAAGGAATCCTTGTCTAAGCCAGTGTCACAAAGCTTTGATCCCATATTTTATCCTACAGATTGTCCTCTATTGACTGATATGTAGCTTGAAAAGCATTTTTTCTGAGTTTTGGTTGTTTCTGGTGGCAGGTAAAGCCAGTCCTTCCTACTCCATTTGTCTGGAAAGAGAATACTCTTTGGGGAATCATTTTAATTCTAAAACCTTTATTTTAAATTATAAAAAATGTTTGCTCTTAGAAGTAGCCTAACAGGAGCATCTTGAAAGTTCTATTTATATTCCTATTCCAGACAGAACATTGAAAAATGCATTGTAAGCCCAGAGGGACCTTTCTAACATTCGCGCTTACACAGACCTGAGACAGCCTCTGGCTTTTCATTAGAGGAAATCAGTGAGTCAGCATTTGTGGATTCTCTTCCAGGGAACAAAGGGCTGCAGGAGGACCAGCTCTGTGTATAGAGTGAGTCCTGCTCACTTCAGAAAAAGAGCGTTTGTTCCTAGGAGCACCACAAATAGGAACCCTGTGGACGTAAATCTAAGTGCTGCTTTAAAAGGCAGCACACTAGGCCACCCTTCAGGACACACGTCAGTGATCTCGGACTTGTCCTACACGGTGCACACATGTGTGGGCAGAACTGTGCCATGGGGAGTGAAAACAGCATTCTCTGAAAGAACAGGTTGGCAGTTGAGTATTTGAATTGGTCAGCAACTTTAATGAATCATAAGCCCTCTGAGCATCTATTTCCCCCCCCAAAAAAAACAGTTTCAAAGAAGCAGCTGTGGTCAGGCTTCTAGGGGTGGATGTATTTTTGCATTGCAAGTGTTAACTGCTGTTTGATAGTGGCACATGTGGTTTGGTTTGCATTTCCCTAAGATTTGTGGTGTTCAATATCTTTACATGTGTTTACTGGCCATCTGAATATGTCATCTTTGGAGAATTGTCTACTCAAGTTCTTGGCCCATATTTTTGTTTTTATATATGTTCTGGATATTAACTCCTTATCTAATATATGATTTGCAAACATTTTCTCCCATTTTGTGACTTTTGTTTTAGTGTCAAAATCTTCTCTTCTGAACTTATAACTTCTTTGACTTCATTATTAATGAATGTTTCGTACACTGCACGTCTACAGAACATTGCCATTCATTGTTCATAGCCAGTTTCTCAAATCTGTCAGAGAATAACTTTCTATGAGAATGGTGGGGGAAACTAGGACCTGGCCTTGTTTGGGGAGGTATAAAGGAATTGTGCATTCCATTCCCACCTGAATCTTTGGGATTTATGATGCCACAGGGTGAGCTTTGTGAGGGAAAAAATACCCTGTAGAAAGAAGCACTGAGGGTCCTGGAAGCTCGCTCATAGAAAATCACATCTAAATCTAAGCTGACACACAGGAATCTCTCTCTAATCTGAAATATATCTAGGGAAGATTTTGGAAAACTATCTCATTGTCTAACACCTGTGTCAATAAATCCCTCCCTCTTATGCTGCCTAAATCCCTCTTCTTACAATATAAAATAACCATATAATGCCTGGGGTTTACCTAGTGCCTTTCTTCCTAAGTCCCATCATTGAATCCTTCTAATATCTCCATGTGGTAAGGATGAGTAAATATTACTATTTACACTTCATCACCTCATCTTAATTCCTTACTCTATAAAAGAGGAATAATAATATTTACTCCTTTTTTTACCCTTTCATGGAGAAAAGAACTAAGGCAGGGAGTGATTAAGTGCATTTTCCCTGGTTCCTAAGGGAGGCGGGAGCAGAAGGCAGGAATGGAGAGGACGCAGCACCTGTGAGAGGCATCTGTGCATAGCCAGCCCTGCACCTGGTTAGCTCCTGGGCTGCTGGTAGGTGAGGAGAGGTGTCACTTTAGCGTCCCACACGTACTGGTAGAAGGGTCTCACTCTTAAGCTTCCTGTTCCGCTGTCTCCATCTTGAGGTCCTTCATAAACTCTGAACAAGGGGCTCCACTAAGTAAAGTCGTGTAGCTCAGAGGGCATGACGAGTGGGAGAGCAGCACCTGTGGCAGCCGGTGCGGATGTGGCCATGGACCTTGCAGGGATGGAAGGCAGAAGCCTCAGTGGAGCAGGGTGTCCAATCGAAGGAAACCGGAGACTCGTCCACACGCTCGAAAGGAGCCTTAAACCTCAGGTCTAATTTAATACAAAAAGAAATAGTGAAGAAATTTCTTAAGGGACACAGACATCGTTAATCAACAGAAAAGAGGAACGTTATTATCAGTGCCATTTTGGACTAGGGCAGATCCTATGAAATGACTGACATTGAAGATGCCAGTTGATCAAGGTCATGGTTAAAGGGAGTAGAAAGTGTATATATCTTCACACACAGTCGATCATTATTTGCAGATTCTGTATTTTTGAGTTTGCCTACTAGTTAAAATTGTATCCTCCAGCCCTGGCCGGTGTTGCTCAAGAGTTAGAGCATGAGCCTACACACACGGGTCACGGGTTCAATTCCCAGTCAAGGGCATGTACTTGCAGGCTCGATCCCAGGCACCTGTACATGCGGGAGGCTACCAATCCAATCGATGTGTCTCTCTCTCTCCCCCTCCCTTCCACTCTCTCCCAAAAAAACAATGGAAAAAAAATCCTCAGGTGAGGACTAACAAAAACATTTAAAATACTTGTAACCCGCACCCCCCAAATCAATACTCTCAGCACTTTCACAGACATGAGCAGAGTAATAAATTGAGTCATGTTCCCAATGAAGGTCAAGCAAGGTGACATTCTCCCTTCTTGTTTCAGCTCATACAGTAAATAAGTGTGCTTTTCATGATCTACTTGGTAACACATTTCTTGCATTTTTGTTAGTGATGTTGCTGTTTAAAATTGTCCCCAAATGTAGTGCTCATACACTGTCTTGTGTTCTTAAGGGCAGGAGGCTGTGATGTGCTTCATGGAGAAAGTAAGTGTTCAGTAAGCTTTGTTCAGGCATGCGGTATAGTGCTGTTGAATGTGAGTTCAATGTTAAGGAGTCAGCAGTGTACATTAAATAAGGAGTCTTTAAACAGAAATACACATAAAACAAGGTTAAGTAGAGATCGTTTTATGAAAATGTCATGATCAGTAGCTCATAGAAACCTAACTCCATATTTTCCCTAGGAGTGAAGGTTCAGTGTTTGGAATTCACTGTTCCCAATGACTTTATGGACAATGAGAGTCAGCCGTAAATGGGTATGATCTGCAGGGGCTATAGGATCAAAGGGAAATGGCTCCTGAGGGCACAGTCAGAAATGGGAGGCGTAAGTGATGGCAACTCTCCCTTTGAATGACAGATTCTAAAGCCTGTAAGCTAGACAACCCCCTTATCTAGCTCAGCCCCTGTACAAGGGTTCTCCCGAAAGCATTTCCTAAAGGCTCAGAGAAATGTATAATATTTGGAAAGCCAGATCTAGCTGGTGCCATATGTCCTGATTCACAGACTTAAATCAGGAGACATCGTATACTTGATTTATATATTTTAATAAACAACCAAAACCTCATTAAATCCATGGCATGCCTTCCAATCCAGGAGCCAGCAGATGTTTTTCCCTAAAAGGCCACGTCGAAAGTACTGTAGGTTTTGTGGGTCCTGTGATCCTTGTCACAACAACGTGGCTCTGCCCTTGTCGTCTGAAAGCACGGCTGCGTCCCAGTAAAACTATTTCATACAATTTCCACGTCACAAAATATTCTTTTGATTTTTTCCCCCAACCATTTAAAAGTGCACAAAAATGTTCCTTGGGCCAGATTTGGCCTGCAGGCCATAGATTGCCAACCGATTCATTCAGTGGCATCATTGAATCACAGGAGTGAACTTGGTCACCTTGGTGTCAGGGCCTTGGATCAGCAGAGGCTGCCCTTGGCCAGTGTGGCTGCCCCTGGTTGCTGCGTGTTCCTCTTCTGTTTGAGACTGACATAAGGATTTAACTGCTCAGTCTTGATTAAACCTGATATTAGAGTTGGTAACTTAGGAATATGAATTGGTTTAGATTTTTACATTGCTTGGTGTAGTGTGCTTTTGCAAGAAGGATCTAGGAAATATTGAAAACAAAATTGGGAAAAGTTCATACTTCTATATACAGTAACATGCCAATGCATTTCAAACACAACCCTTTCATTAGAATTCCTTTGTGCAGCCATGTTCTAATTATCCCTTTATCTTGAAACTCTACTTTCTTCTTCTCCATTGTGTCATTTTTCTTTGTGTTTTTCACACATACAATAGACCTTATTCACAAGAAGGCGGAGCTGCAATCTAGAACGAGGCTTGTAATACAAGGAAACTTACACAGAGTAGGAATTAAATAAATTTGAGTACAAAAAAAAAATCAGAAGGGAAATGAACCCATCTTGCTTAGCACAGCATCCCAACAACATACTTTGAAGATTAAATATTCATCACTGACCAGATATCAGTGATTGGTTTTTGAATGTATTATAAAAACGGCGAAGAAGAAATTAAAATGTGACATCTCAGATAAGTAGATGCTAATGGATGGAAAAGCCCTTGGTTTTTCATGAGATGTTGAGTAGCGCCCTTGTCTCAACCCAGAACCACTGCCTCAGGCAGTCTCTCTGGAAACAGGTACATTCTGGCCTGCAGCCCTGGCTTTGGCCACACTCACTGGGGTTCCCCTTACCTAGAATTTGCAGGCAGAGCTCACAGCCCAGCCCTGTTGAATCCAGATGGCCCCTGCCCATGCAGACTGGTCCTTGGCAGAGGAGGGCAGCCTTTTTAAAATGGGGCATCAACAAAAGATTCCCCCTTCTCAATGGTGACTGTGCTATCCCAGAGCTCCCAAGCATCCTGCTAAGCTTCCCACAGGCTTGTAAAGGCCTCGAATTACACTGACACACTAGCATAGCTCACCTGTTAAGCTTTGGGCTATGAAATGTCTTTTGGCGAATGTTTGAAAACTAGTCTTCTAGATATTTTTCTGATGGTAACTTCCTTTACCAAATATAATTGACATATAAAGCATGTACATTCAAGGTGTACAACATCTTGCTTTGATACAATTAGATATTGCAATATGATTACCACTGTAGCATCTCTATCACGTCACATAATTATCTTTTCTTTTTGGTGGTGGGAGCAAGAAAGATCTAGTCTCTTAGCATCTCTAAAATTGATAATATAGTACTGTTGTCTGTAAACCTAGGACTTGTTTGCAAGGTTATAACTTCAATATCTCCCTACCCCCCTAACCCCCGGTAACTACCATTCTGCTGTTCTTATGAGTTTGGCTTTTTTGGTTCCACATATAAGTGATATTTGTCTTTTCCTGTCTGACTTCTCTCACTTACCATAATAACTTTCCAGTCCATCCATGTTGTTGCAAATGTTCTTTCTCTTGGCTGAATAGTATTCTACTGATGGACACTTAGGTTGTTTCTATGTCTTGGCTACTGTGAATAATGTAATGAACATGGTAGTGCAGATATCTCTTCAATAGCCTGTGTTCATTTCCTTTGGACACAGACCCAAGAGTGGAGTTGCTGGATCATATAGTGCTTCAGTCAATTTTTAATATTATTAGGAATCTCTATTTTCCATAATGGCTGAACCAATTTACATTCCCACCAACAGTGCACAAGGATTCTATTTCTCCACATCCTTACCAACACTTATTTCTTATCTTGATGGCAGCCATTCTAGCAGGTATGAGGTGATACCACATTGTGGTTTTGACTTGCATTTCCCGGATGATTAGTAATGTTAAGCATCTCTTCATGTACCTGTTGGCCATCTGTATATCTTCTTTGGGAAAATATTCAATTCCTCTATTTTTTAATTGGATTATTTCTTAGTGAGATATATGAGTTCATTATATATATTGAATATTAACCCCTTCACCAATATATAGTTTGCAAATATTTTCTCCCATTCTGTACATTGCCTTTTCATTATGTTATTGTTTCTTTTGCTCATAGAAGCTTTCATTTTAATGTAGTCCTACTAGTTGAATTTGCTTTTGTGCCTTACCTGGCTTTGGTATCAGGGTAATGCTGGCCTCATATAATGAGTTTTGATGTGTTCCCTTTTCTTCAGTTTTTTGGAAGAGTTTGAAAAGGATTGATGTTAATTATTCTTTAAATATTTAGTAGAATTCACCAGTGGAGCACCTGGTCCTAGGGTTGTGAATATCGATTTGAATCTTCTTATTCATTATTGGTCTGTTCAGATTTTCTATTTTTTCCTGATTAGGTCTTGGCATGTTGGTATATTTTATTTAATTCTTTATTATTTAAAGTATTAGATAAGTCTCCTTTTTCCCCCATTGACCTCTCCCCAGCTGCCCCAAACCCAGTCTGTGTCCATTGGTTATGCTCATATGCATGCATACAAGTCCTTTAGTTGATCTCTTACCCCCTCACCCCTCGCCTTCCCTCATAGGTTGGACAGTCTGTTCAATGCTTCAATGACTCTGGTTCTATTTTTGCTCATCAGTTTATGTTGTTCATTAGGAATTTATCCATTTCGTATAAGTTATCCAATTTGTTAGCTTCTCACTATTCCTAGTCTCTTATGATCCTTTGCATTTCTATAGTATCAGTTGTAATGTCTCCTTTTTCATTTCTGATTTTGTCTTTTTTTTTCATGGTCTAGCCAAAGATTTGCTTTTTCCTGGTATCTATTTATTTTGTTCCCACTCTGTTCTTTGTTATTTCCTTCCTTCTACTAACTTTAGTCTTAATTTGTTGTTCTTTTTCTAGTTCTGAAGGTGTAAAGTTAGGTTGTTTATTTGAGACCTTTCTATTTCTTAATATATGCACTTATCACTATAAAATTCCCTCTCAGAACTGCTTTTGCAGCATCCCATAGGTTTTGGTATGTTGTGTTTTCATTTGTTTTGAGATGGTTTATTTTCCTTTAGATGTCTTCTTTGACCAACTGATTGTTCAGAAGTATGTTTAATTTCCACATGTATGTAGATTTTCCAGCTTTCCTCCTGTTGGTTTCTAGTTTCATACCATTGTGGCCAGAAAAGATGTTTTCTGTAGTTTACATCTTTTTTTATTTTTTTACTAAGACTTGTTTTAGGTGTATGTTCTGTCATGGAGAATGTTCTGATTACTTGAGAAGAATGTGTATTCTGCTCCTGTTGGGTTGGAATGTTCTATACATATCTATTAGGTCCATTTGGACTAATGTATGGTCCAATGTCTCCTTGTTGATGTGCTGTCTGGATGAAAGTGAGGTATTAAAGTCCCCAACTAATACTATATCGTCTGTTTCTCCCAGTTCTGTTACATATGATTGCTTTGAATTCATTTTCTTGATGAATTGTCCCCTTTACTATTATATACTGACCTTGTCTCTTATTACCATTTTTGGATTAAAGTTTGTCTGAGTATATTTACCTCACCTTCTATGGAATGTCTTGTTCCGTTCCTTCACTTGGAGCCTATGGATGTCCTTAAAGCCGAAGTGAGTCTCTTGTAGGCAACATATACTTGTAGTTTTGGTTCTTGCTTTTTTTAAAAAAAATCATCCAGCAGCTCTCTGCCTTTCAATTGGTATATTCAATCCATTTAGATCTAGAGATGTTAGTGATATGTAAGGACTTACAAAAGCCATCTTATTGTGTTCTGGTTGTTTCGCATTTGCATTATTTCTTTTTCCTCCATGTAAGCCTGTCTTTGTAAGTTGTTGTCTTTCCGTGGTGGTATGCTCTGTTTCCGTTTTCTTTATCTTCTGTGCATCTACTCTAGGTTTTGGCTTTGTGGTTACATAAGACATCTCATGGATTAAACTTAAGCTGAGAGCAATTTAAGTTCAATCATCTATGAAAGCTTTACCCTTTTATATCTTTGATGTCATTATTTACCTCTTTATATTATGTGTTTAGCAAATTATAGTAGCTGTGACTATTTTTAATGCTCTTTTCTTTTGAAATCTGTATTGTAGTTAAGTGGGTAACACACATCCTATTACAGAATTTGGAGTTTCTGTTTATTTACCTTTACCAGTGTGTTGCATACTTTCATGTGTTTCCATGTCACTGATTAGCATCTGTGCATTTCAGCTTGAATGTCTTGAAAGGCAGGTCTAGTGGTGATGAATTGTCTCAGCTTTTGTTTTTCTAGGAAGGTTATTTCTCTTTGATAGCCAAAGGATGATTTTGCCGGATATAGTATACTTGCTGGCATTTTTTCTTTCAACACTTGGAATATCTAACTCCACTCTCTCCTGGTCTGCAGGGTTTCTGCCGAGTTCCAATGATAGCTCAACTGGGATGCCTTTGTAAGTTATAATATTTTTCCCCAGGTTCCTTTTAGGGTTCTTTCATCTTAAATTTTGACAGTTTCATTACAATATGTTTTGGACAAGCTTTGTGTGCATTGATATAATAGGGTGTTCAATTCACTTCCCAAGTTGGGTTAGTTCTTTCTAGAAGACGACAAAGGGATATATTCTATTCCTTGTTGTTTTGATGAAATCCCACAGGCCATGTAGGCTTTCTTCACTCTTTTTATCATCTTTTCTTTGTTCTCCTCTAGTAGGTTAATTCACAATTCCTGTCCTCTAACTCAGTCTGTGCTCTACCCTTCTATATATGCTATTGCATTTTTTCCTTTCATTCACTGAGTTCTTCGGCTACATAACTTCTACTTGGTTCTTTTTCATTATTTCATTGAATTGTCTTTGAGCTTTCTTGTAGTTCCTTGAGTTTCTTCAAAACAGGGATTTTGAATTCTTTATCAGCAAGATCACAAAATGCTGTGCCTTTGAACTGAGATGGTAGAGGATTATTACCTTTCAGTGGTGAGATTTCCTTGATTTTGAATGATGTTTGTAGTTTTGCATTGCTGCTTTCTCATTGGAAGTAGCAGACACCGCCTTGAATATTCTGTTCATTGGTGCTGGTTTAGGGGGGTTTCTGCCTTTGTATGTTACTCTGGTCTTGCTCCCTCTTGTGGCCTAAGCTTTTATGCCTCTGGTTCTTACCACTCACCAGACTGCTGGCAAGAAACCTCTTTTGTTTCTATAGGTGGTGCTATAGCTCAAGTTTGTGGTTTCTCTCTTCCCCACCAGTGGTTCTCAACCTTCCTAATGCCGCGACCCTTTAATACAGTTCTTCATGTTGTGGTGACCCCCAACCATAAAATTATTTTCGTTGCTACTTCGTAACTGTAATTTTGCTACTGTTATGAATCGTAATGTAAATATCTGATATGCAGGATGTATTTTCATTGTTCGCGACCCACAAGTTGAGAACCACTGCGACCCTGGCCAGTTTTCTGAGGGCCCTCCCTGCTGGATCTTGTTCTTGCCTCCACACTTAGAAGTGGACACAGAGTGGGGGGAAGTGTGGACTTAAAGCATCAGGTGCGCCTGCAGAAACAAAGGGATCCCCCAGGTGTGGTGCTCCCAGAGGTTCCTCAGACTTTCTGCTGAGCGGTCAGCAGGAGCCTTGTCCCAGTAATGCCTTTCGATGCTTCTTTCCCAGTCTCCTTCCTCCTCCTAGTCATGGAGTTCCCGCCTCAGAGAAAGTGGCTTCTCCAGCGCTCCATTGGGCAGCTATGGGAGGTGCCGCCGCCACCACTGATAGTTCATCCAGTGCATTGTGGCTGGAGGTTTGCTGGTAAAGTTCTTGCTGTCTCTGCTGCATTTAAATTCCTTTGATTTTTGCTCTGATGGCATGCTGGCATTTCCCCTGGGGAAGGCTAGATAGACCTCTGCAGTTCCTCTCTTAGGTATCTGCCCAAGCCAGCACTCTCCAAGTTCACTGCTCTGCTGGGTGTACAGGTGGCAGGACGCTTCCGTGTCCTGGGCATAGTGCTGCATCCCACAGCTGTTTGTTGAATTGTGGGGGACAAACAGGGTGAACCATCTTATGCCACTGTTACTCCTGATGGTATCTTTTGATCCTTTTTCACTTGGTCACATCTAGGAGGCCTTCAGCTCCTAAGCACAGCCTCTAGGAGCAGGGTGAGCTGGGTTTGCAAAGGGATCCACAAGTGAAGGCTGGCAGCACCAGCCAGACTGAAGCAGGTTAACTCGCCTGTGCTGTGTGGAGGTCGGGGGTTTTGAATGAAGCCCTGGCTCCTTTATAATCACTGCAGGACACTTTCCAGTGTTCACACCTATCATGGTATGGGAACACCTGGAATATGTAACTACTGACCATTTCTCTTCCTGTGACAGTATTGAGTCAAAGTTCTGTATCTGCCCCTAACCCCATCTTATAGCTGCCTAAAATTCTGATCTTTGAAAACAAAGCTTCAAACCTCCCCCCAAGGCTTATTTCAAGCAAAAAAAGCTTGATCCTAATCAGCTGAAAGCTCTGGAGTCAGCAGATAACTTGGGAGAAGGGAGCACACTATTGAAAACAGGCGGGACCTGCTTCATGGAGGCAGTTATCCGCCAGGTGCTCGTCCCCGCCCAGTGGTTCTGTAACTTTAGAGCAGCAGCGCCAGGCCCACCTGTAGGGCACCAAGAGCCCAAGCGTGGGCGACCGCTCGGGGAGAGCCTGGGAGAAAGGCACTGGTAGAGGCCACCAAAGGCCCTCGGGCTCACTCTGACCTTGCCGGCTCATCTGCCTCTGGCAGCTGTGGCCCAGCGGACGGAGAAATGCTGAGCATCGAGCTAAACTTCTGTGATCCCAGCAGATGCATTTTGTACAGAATGAAAAGTCACTGCACAAGACTTTCTCTTTTTCCTAATAATGCAGGATTCTTCATACTGATTGTAATTAGGGTTCTTGCCGCTCCATCTAGGCTGGTGTCACCAGGAAAGGCCAGTGGGAATCAATAGCGAGACGGCTGGCCTGTTTGTCTCACTGCAATTAAGGCGTTCGTGCTGACAGGCGGCAGGGCAGAGCTTTTGTCCTTGTAGCCATGATGTTCCTTGGACCCCAGTCCCTCTAACTGCAGGGGTGGGGTGCATACAACCTCACATTAAAACCCAACATAAACAAGTCGAAGGGCATCGGACTGACGGGAAAAGATGGAAGGGGGTAGCTTCATAGATCGAGTTCTGCATTCTTTACTCAGGCTGCTAAAATGAAGATGCCCAATTACATTAGCCAGGTTTTGTTTTTGTTCATTGATTAAGACCGGCAACAGGCTGCTCTGAAAAAAAATACTGGGCACTTACAGTCAGAGAAAGGCAGGAGCCAGAGCTAGCAGGAGGGCCTCTCCCAGGTGCTGTGTGGCTGCATCAGTACTTCCTGTCTTCAAGGAGCTTGCAGGCCACTTGAGGAGCTGCAAATGTGCAAAGTTACACCAGTAGGAGGTGGAAACCACAGGATAGAAGAGGAGGGGTGTCACCTGGCTGTAATGTCAAGTAAATCACAAAGACAAAACATGGCATCTGTGAGTTCAGAGGAGAGCAAGGGTCCTCAGGCCAAGGTTCCAGGTCTCCGGGGGTGGGAGGTGACTGCAGGGAGTGGGGTCCTGTGAAAGGAAGAGCCTGGGAAACCTGCAGAAAAAGCCAAAACTCCTATCATTTGAAGAGACACTTTGGGAAAATCATTCCATGCATTCCATGCTAATTGAGTGTCCAAGAAAACTTCTGGACTATCCCTGCAGGGCTGTGCGTGCCATGGACCTGGAGTGATTCAATTCTAAAGGCCTGTGAGAAGTCTGGCTTTCCCCCCACGACACACACCACCAGACTGGGCGAGGCCCGAGGCTCCCTGCTCTGCCCTGGTGGTTTGGGGTGTAAGTAGAAACTACCTGTGGTGGTTTAGTGACGCACAGCCACCTTGCAGGGTCTGACTACAGCCTGGCCTCACTCTGCCAACTCTGATCTTGGGAGAGTGTGCAGTGATGACATGTGCATTGTACCTGTTTGGTTTTCTGGCTCCTCCGGGCAGAGGCCCACCTGCTGTGTTCCTCTGCATGCGCCGCTCATTGCTCCAGGGTGACACCTAGGAGACAGCGTGAGGGTTAGACCACTGTGCCTGCCGTGACACAGCAGTCATTCTGGCTGGTCAATGTCCCTGCCACCCAGTTCTCAGAGCCTAGTTCCCCCTCCTCACGCTCTAACCTCCTGCAGCCACACCTTCCAGGAGGGCTGGAGACCTCGTACTGTAGCACCGCCAGCCCCCCACCCCCAGCATCTGCAGAGGGTCAGGAATGTTCTCACCCAGTGACTGGGAGCACATGCCTTTGATTGTCACAGGTGATTCCTGACCTGCAAAGGTCTTCAGCCTTGTCCCAGGGCCCAGTGGTCATCCAAAGCAGCCACCCTGAGAGTGTGTGGTGGTGACAGGGCCGTCTCCCCCGGGTGTGCACAGGGCCTAATGCCTCGCCTGGAACTGCCCAGGCCACCCCTCCCTCTGCACTCACTGTAAACAGAGGTGGGCAGAAATGGCAGCCCCGGGGTCAGGTGCATGGTTAGGGAGTAGTGACCGGGGCCCTTGTCCCCAGCCAACCTGCGAGGACAAACAGCTGAGCCTCAGGCCTGTCCCTTCTGGGTTCCTCAGCATCTCCTAGGTGATGCTCGGTGCTGGGAATGCAGGTGTCACAGTCAGGGACAGAGGCGCTGAGAAGGCCGGGCCCTGTCCCCATTAGCAGTCGCAGGGGCGCTCTGTGCACACTGCCCCGTGGTGAGCACTGATTTATTCTGCCTGCATCTCTGAGTGTGTGTGATCGGCACTGCTCTCGCCTGTTTCAGATGTCAGTAGGTCTGTGCAGAGCTTCCCCTGTTCCAAACCCCCGAGGGACCCCCCACTGAAAGGTGTGGCACCATGTGGGGAGAGTGAGGCCATGGGTGGCTTTTAGCTCTCACAACCACTGGCCCGCCACCTAAATTAAGAAACTCGCCACCCCGATTCTATTTTAAGAATCTTTTTTCTGGAAAAGCAGAAAACAAAGCCCTCCTGCCCTTCACTTTATAGAAGGGGGACCAAGTTCCATAAAGATGACTCAGCACGTTTGGTAAACTGTCCATAGAGGAAAATGATGGAAGGAGCTTGGGACCAGTAAGAGGGCAGCATGAAAGAGGCTCCGCCCTAGCAGAGCATCCTGGCCTCGTGATTAAGAGTAGGCACCCTAGAAAGCAGGTGCTCTCCTCACCCTCATTTTACAGATCTGGAAACTGGCACCACATTCACAAAGCAAGCATGTGCGTGAACTTGCCCTGAGTGGACGGGGACAGAGGCTGGTGCTGTTTCCCAGCTTCTCTGGCCCCCACGCCCAGTGGCTGCAGAACACGTACCACATGTCACAGTGTTTGGAACCTGCCTAGGGATCAGCACTCTGCAGCCACCAACAGAGCCGGTATCTTTCCGAATGAGATTTTCTTGATTTCTGGTTTGTAATGAAGGCCTTTGCCACACAGTTATTTACTATCCCACGCAATGAAAGCTCGCCATTCGAGTTTAAAAAAACCTGAGGGAAAATGACAGATGTGTTTTCATAAGAATCGCTTTTCTGACGGATTATTATCACCTGCTTTACCACAGAGGGAAATGACCAAAAGTCTAGTTAACTAAAAAAAATCAGAATGTGTATATTGTGATGTGAAATGATATTCCTAGTAAATAGAAGAGCAACCAAGAATGCTGTACTGCATTTGTGGTTATTGTTTCCTTACCTCACAAAAGTGGTTCAGATCCAGGAGGCTGAGAAGGTCCTTGGGTGACAGAGGAGGGAAATGGCTGGATGGGCGAGGGGACTCAGAGTTGTCCTTGATGCTTTTACTTGTCTCTTAAAATCCCCCTGCAGTGGAGCATGGATGACAGTGGACGGCTGCATGGAGATGCAGTAGATGCCCTCACACTGCACAGCTGTGAGAAAGAGAGAATTCCTCCATTTGTGACAATATGGATGGACCGTGAGGGCAGGCATTATACTAAGTGAGATAATCCAGAGGGAGAAAGACAAATACTGTATAATCTCACTTTCCTGTAGCATCTAAAAAAGCCAAACTCATAGAAACAGAGTAGGACAGTGGTTACCAGGGGCTGGGGGAAATGTTGGTCAAAGCGGACAAATTTCTAGTCATCAGAGGAGTACGTTCTGGGGATCTAATGTACAGCATGGTGATTATAGCTAATCATACAGTATATCTTAAGTACTTACACCACAAAAGAAATGGTAATTATGTGACATGATGCAGGTGTTAGCTAATCATTTTGCAATATATAAGTGTATCACATCAACCCATGGTACAGCTTAAACTTGTATAATGTTCTATGCCAAGTATAACACTGCAGATCTCAAAAGCTGGGGGAAAATGAAAGAAGTAACTGAGAAGTCTGAGTCTGCCACCAGCTAAGGGCAGAAAGCCTGAAGGAGGGAGGCCCGGGGGTGGGGGAGTAGGGGAAGGATGAGAGGAGCTCTGCCTTGTCCCTCACTGTCCTGGGCACCTGCCCCTCCAACCCCAGCCCACCTTACAGTCTTGGGATGGCCCATCACCCAAGGATACATGCTCACACTCGCCCCACCCAATTCACACGTAACAATCTGACAGCAATTCAGTGATCCAGCCACTATGAACTTGGTTACTGACCCTGTTGCCACTGATATATTTAATCCTGAGCAGTTACACAGCTCTTGGCTGAATTTGTTTTGCATGAAGGCATATTACGTGCCCGGTGACATGAGCACCCTCCTTCCTCCCCCAGGGCAGGTGACTTACTAAATTCATCAGGCAGCATCACAGACAGGATTTCCTGGCTGGATTTCTGAACGTTGCTCTGAGAATTTACACAAGTTGTAAATGCAGAGCGCTGCAGGGACAGGGATGGAAATCTGACCTCTGTGTCACGTCCCCTCTCTGTCTGTGTTGCAGCTGGTGAGTGACTTGCTGGAATTTTGCTTCTATACCTTCCGAGAGTCCCAGGCCCTGAAGGTGGAGTTCCCCGCGATGCTGGTGGAGATCATCAGCGACCAGTTGCCGAAGGTGGAATCCGGGAACGCCAAGCCGCTTTACTTTCACAGGAAGTGACGGACTCATCGTAGCAGAAGAACTTTGCCTTAAGTTCCCCTGTGTTGTTCCACACCCATGAAGGACCCAAGAAATCATATTTTTAGCAGGTGATGGTTGAGTCATACTCGTTCAGCAGTTTCTGGAGTTTAAGGTCATGTTAAAGGTTTGGGGCCGGGTTAGAAGTTAGACGTGGATTTGGCAAGACCCGAACAGTCTAAACTCTAAAGGACTCTCCCCTCTCCAGTCCCCAGCGCTTAGAAACACGTTCCTCTGGATGAAAAGCCATATCTAGTCAATAACTCTCTGATTTTGATACTTTAACAGATGGAAGTTTTAACTATGCCATGTAGTTTCTGGTATCAGCCGCTTGTTTTAAAAGGGTTCAAGGACTAATGAACTTTTTAAAGCTTACCCTTGGTTTGCACATAAAACGTATAGGCTATATGGGGCATTAATATTCTTTTGTTATTTAAAAAAACAACAAAAAAAGAAAAAACCTATACAGACTCCCGTTGTGTAATAACAGAGCACGCAGCGTGGGAGAGCGCCCCCCTCTGGCTCGCACTCGCCCATGTTCCTCCGCATCACTGGCGTTCCTCCCCCTTCAGCGTCCATTGGTTAATTAGAATGGATAAGATGTTAAAAACAAATGCCTCTGTTTCAGTTTCTAGTATCTATTGTGTTGGCTTTACAGATAATTTTTTGCAGTCTTTTGCTGTGCTGTACATTACTGTATGTATAAATTGTGAAGGACCTGAGTTATATATGGTATAAGGAACTTTTGTAAATGAGAAAAAAAAAAGATACAAAAAAAAACTTCAATGGTTAATAGGAAGAATGGGAAAGTATTTTTGAAAGAATTCTATTTTGCTGGAGACTATTTAAGTACTATCTTTGTCTAAACAAGGTAAAAATTTCTTTTTGTAAAGTGAGATGCTCTGCATGCCTAATGAACCGTTTACAGTGTATTTAAGAAAGGGAGAGCTGTGCCTTTTTTAGCTTCACATCTGATTTACCATTTCCCAGTCTCTGTTGTAAATAGCCACACTGAGACCTCTTCGGTTGTCCTTAAGCCTTTCTACTTTGTCTGCCTTTGTTTTGTCTTTGGTCTCCCGCGGGGGTGCTCGTGGGGCGTGAGCATGTTTTCCGGCAACGGGCTGTGGTGTCCGGAGGGCCTTGAAGGCGTCACCTGAGGACACACGTGGGAGCCGGTCCGGAGCGCGGCTTTAGCACCGCTGCCCCCGATCCTCGGTCCTCACGCAGCAGAACCAGCCACAGGCGAGGAGAGCCCGTGGAAAGCAAGGGCTCGGCAGGCATAGTCCCATCCCATTTTAGAGAAATGCATCTTCTCCCGTGGAGATGAGAATCCCATGCCCTCGCTACACCTGTGAAAGGTGACATGTTCACGACTGGTCTTGGGAAGGGGGTTCGCACTCCTGGCACCGGTCATGGGAACACGCAGGTTTTGCAGGACACACTGAGAAGATGCACGCGGCACGGTCAGAGCAGCGTGGAGACCACATCATCATTAGAGGGTTTTTAGATTTTTAAAAGGTAGGTTTTAACGATAAATTTTATACATAAACAGTTTTGGGGGGAAAACTACAGATCATATAAGCAAGACAGTGGCACTAAAATTTGTAATTCATTCATCTGTTTGGCACTGATGCAGTTTACGGCTTTTCTCTTGCCCCAAATCACAAACATCTCTTTGGGGACACTTAGCAATATGATTGCACTAAATAAGCTACTTTGAATAGAGGCCAAATCAATCTTTAAAAGTGATGATAATCATCAGGTACTCAGTGAAATCACATTATTTTCCAAAACCTACAAGCGGTAGCTGGAGAAGCCCACGGCCAGGAGAAGGCAGCGTCGGATCCACACTTTTCTCCAGGGTTCACTGTGCAGGCAACATTACCTTGTCTTTCCAAAGACACCTGCCTTATGCAAGGGGAAGCCTGTGAAAGTGCACTCGGAGGGAGTTTTTCTTACATAATTTGCAATTTCGGGAATTTAATTTATAGGCAGATCTTTAAATACAGCCAACTTACTTACATGCACAGCAATATGAATGCCACACTTGGAAGAGGATAGATGCACAGCATGCAGACTTGGAGTTTCCAGAAAAGAAACGGCTTACGAGAGCAGCTTTCAGCTCAGACTTACTTTTTACGCAGTCAGAATTTCGACGTAACCAAGTTTGGGATGGAGGTGGTCTGCATTGGCTTCTCATATTAATGATGGTCCTGGCTGTTTGTGTGTCTCCGGGTAACTTTGCTTGGTTCAACAGCAAAGCCATATTCTAAATTCACTGCTGAATGCCTGTCCCGATCCAAATGGTCTGTCTGCTCTTATTTTTGTACCATATTGCTCTTAAGAATCTCGGTTTGGTACAATTCATAATTCACCAGAACTTCTTCATATAATTAAAAAGAAAACACACTAAATTAGTTTAAAATGAAGCAATTTATATCTTTATGCAAAAACATATGTCTGTCTTTGCAAAGGACTGTAAGCAGATTACAATAAATCCTTTACTTTAATCACCTGTTGTTTGGGAAACAGTTCATTTGAATGTCTATAGGAACACCTGGATTTTGTGTCCTCCTAAACCTTGATTACATGTGCTTCTGCCTACATCCAACATGGAGTATCAGGTTTTTGGTTTTTACCCACCATGTTAGAGACCTGTGTTAGCCACATGTTAATTATACTCTTTGGGGACTGGTTAGATGCCTTGTTTCTTAATATTTGGCCCACTAAAATACCCTATAAAAGTATGATAACTGCTAGCCACTGTATCTGCACATTGCCTCGTTTATCTTGACAACTACATGTAAGCCTGTTCATTCTAGAGACTCACATGAGTAGACCAGATGCCCCATCTGACTCAGATGTCTTCCTCCAGTTGTCCTGGGCTGTCAAGAGGCTCAGGTCCCCACCAGCCATGATGTTTCTCACACTCCTTACAGACTCCCTCAATTCTGCTCATTAATATGAAACACAAAAGAGCAGTAAGCAATTACCAGCTCCTTTTAAAACTAGAAAACATTTTCTTCCCCACAAGATAAATTCAAGCATAGCCATGCTCGGCTTAATGATGGGGATACGTCTGAGAACTGCATTATCATGCAGTGTCATTATTGTGGGGACATAATAGCACTCACACAGACCTAGACGCTGTAGCCTACTACACACCCAAGCCTATCGCTCCTGGGCTACAAACCTGTACAGCATGTTACTGTACTGAATACTATGGATAATTGCAACACAGTGTTAAGTATTTGTGTATCTAAACATAGAAAGGGTGCAGTAAAAATACCGTCGAAAAGTTGAAGAAAATATTACATTCATACAGGCCACTTACCATGAATGGAGCTTGCAGGACTGGATGATGCTCTGGGCGAGTCAGTGCGTGGGTGGTGAGGGAATGGGAAGGTCTTTGACGTTACTGTATATGCTGTAGATTTTATAAACGCTGTACACTGAAGTTACACTAACTTTATCAAACCTGAGGTTAAATCAAGCATAAGAGAAAATGGTGCAATCAAGAGAGAACAGTAAACACGAGATATGTAACAGCATGCTGTTTTACAGCAAACAATTTATATGTAGAAAGAGTACACTCTCCAATAATGATAAAAATTAAAGTAAATGCATCAACCGGTAAGAAAGACATTTATTGTCAAGTAGCATGTACTGTACATAACCGCCAGTGCTGCTCTGTTACACTACTGACAGGTTTGTGTACACCAGCATCACCACAAGCAAGTGAATAATGCATTACACAATAATGTTACCATGGCTACGATGTCACTGGTGGTAGGAATTTTTCAGCTCCATTATAATTGTAGAAACCACGGTCATTTATGTGGTCTGCCATTGACCGAGAGGTCATGTAACTGGTCATCATTCAAACCATTTGCTTTGAGAAAGATTAGACTATTTGAGAGTTAAATAAATTCAACTTCACTTAAACACAGTAGATATTTTTCTCTAACACCTCACAATCATTAAACACAACACTAGAAAAAATTCATTTAAAAAACTAAAGTATATACAAACTTGTAAAGTATCTATAATTGAAGGTAATTTTATATATTAAAATTTATGGAACTTGACATATTAAGGAGTAGGGCTTTTCACAGAGAACCCATAACTTTAAACAAAAGCCATCTTAGGCTGTGAGCCCACCAAGGCTAGCAAGAGGCCACACCAGTTGGCACCCATGAAAAGAGTGGGTGCCCTTTCTGAATAAAGGAGGCTCAGTCTTGGGTCAAGTATGACCATATTTCTAAGAATTTCTAAGAGTGCTCTCAGGCCCAGAGAATCCAGCTGCACATCTAGGAATCAGCTAAGAACTAAGACCGCCCCTGTGACAGCCACCACTGTGAGCCAGAGCAGTGGGAATCTGCATCATGATGCATATGTAGTTAGGGGCTGGTTTGCTCTCCTATGTTGAATACCCCTCAGGCAAGTAGACAACAGTGTCCTTTTATGTTAAAGTCAGGTCTAACATACTTCTTGATAAACCACAAGTGTACACAGATCAAAAGGACTTCATTATAAGTATCTCTGACAATTTAATTTCAAGTCATCCAATTGCCAATGCTGCATTTTTCTTGGAAATAAAACAGTGGCTTCCCAAACTGGGTAAGAGGAGATTAAGATATGATCTGAATGATCAGCATGGATCAAGACTGTACCGGATGCTAAGTAAACCATGGGGCAGAGTAGCAGGTAGTTAGCTGCAACCTCCCCCCCGCACCCCCCCCACACACACACACGAATAATTAGTGGTTTACATCAATCACCATGGATGATTTCTCATGACTTTGAGTCAGCCAGGAGGGTTCTGCTGATGTGGGCCAGGCCGGGCTGAGTCAGGCTCATTTATGGACCTTGGGCAGCCAGCCTCTCTCCTGTGGGTCTAGGACGGTTTTGCTCCATGTGACGGCCTCATCCTCCAGTGGGCTAGCGCCTGTGCGTATTTTCATGGTGGAAGAAAGGCTCTAAGAAAGACAAGGGAAGGTCTAACAATTTTCAAGCCTTGGATGGCATCAAGTTTGCTCCTGTCTCACTGGCCAAAGCAAGTGACAAGGCCACTTGGGAGGGCCCCACAAAAAGGGCCTGGGCAAGGGAGGAGTGAAATTGGGGTCATTAAATCCATCTGCCACTAGCAATTACTCAGATATTTTCTTCATAGGATTTATGTTGCCAAGACAGTGGTTTCCAAGTTTTCATGGTTTAACAAACCCATTTCTTTGGATCTCTATGCCCTGGGCCCGCCTGTCTAGAGAGATCATGGCTCCCTCATGAATGTGAAAACGCGTGACTGGATCTGGCCACGTTCCTCCCACTCTGCTTGCTTCACCTACAGTGTTTCTTCTAAGGCTAAACCCTCTGAGGAAGGAGAAATCCATACACTGACTCATGGCACTGAGCTGCCCCCATGCCTCTACTGCCCGAGTCCAAAGTGCAGGTGTCCTGTTTGGGGCAAAAGCAGAAGTCTGCCCTCCAATCGAGTTGATCTTCTGATAGGAAAGAATTCTCAAGGTCTTCCAACCAGGAGACTGAGATATTTTAGCCAGGCACGAAAGCACTGGGACAATGGGCCAGCTTACCTCGTGGGGTAGCAACAAATGACTGCCCAGGCCGGTCAATGGAAAAAGAGTGACAAGCCTCTGAGAAGACATATGCAGAGGTAGGAACAGGACAGCCGCTTGAGGATGCTCTCCTGGAATAGTATCCTCCTACGGGGGTGGGGGTGTGAGGGAGAGAAAGTCATGTGGCTGAGGAAGGTTCAGAAAGTCATGGGAAACATCTGGCTGAGGAAGGGGTGACCATGGTTGCCTTTGGACTTGAGGGGAGAACCAGGAAGAAGATGAGAAGGGGCCCAGCACTAAGGTGAATGGGCAGCCCAGGAAAGGCCAAACTCTGCTGAGCAGAGGGAAAGAGCAGGGAATGGCCATTAGAGAAGGGACACTGGAGAGAAGCGGGGAGGGGAGAAGAAGGGGGACCGACTAACCCCCACCAGCACTGCACCCCGCCTCCTCCCATCTTCTCCACTTACTAACCGGACGTCCCGCCATGCACCCTTCAGGCACTTGCACGCGTCACCATTTGTCACAGCATCTCAATGAGGCGGGTGCTACTCTCTCCATTTCACAGAGGGAACCGAAGCTTAAAGAGCCCGAGTTAACATGCCCAAGGTCAGCAAGGCATTGGGGGAAAAGGACTTCAAAACCAGCTGTTTTTAACTCGTATCATGCTTTGAGCCGCTGTGTGAACTCCCCAGGGCTGCTGGAACAAGCACCCAAGCTGGGTTGACTGAAACAACGGAAAAGTGTTGTCTCACGGGTCATAGTTCTGGAGGCGGGAAGTCTGAGCTCCGGGCGCCAGCAGGAGGGTCGTGGGGAAGGGCCTGCCCCAGGCCTCTCTCTGTGCCTTGCAGATGCCATCTTCTCCCCGTGCCTCCTCACACGGTCTTCCCTCGGCGCGTGTCTCTCAGCAGCTAAGTGATACTGAGACATTGAAGGACACCGGTCATATTGGATTAGTGCCCAACCCCATGGACCTCGCCTTAACTAATTACATCTGCAATAACCCTATCTCCGAATAAGGTCACATTCTGAGGTACTGGGGTCAGGCCTTCCACATACGAATTTTGGGTGGGGTGGAATTAAAATTCAACCGGTAACCACCATTATCCCCTACTGGGCTCCTGGAGCAAAATGGTGCAGCAGAAGGAACAGGTGAGCAGCCCAGTGAAGCGGACGCAGCTCTTCGCCCTGGAGTGCCTCCCTTTTCTTATCAATAAGACGGGATCCTTCCCCGGCTACACAGTCACCGTGAAGAAAGAATGAGTTAGACATCAGTCACTGGCGCAGACGATCCGCTGCTTTCCCCACCTCCACCCTCAACCGCAGACGTTTCTGCCACGACAAGGAAGGGGGTGCAGCCCACACAGCCCTGTTCTCACGTGGCATCTCCTTCACAGGCGAAGAGACCACCAGGCAGACACTTGGGTGACACCATGAGATGCAGGCCCACTGCCCCACTGCAAACAGGAGCCGTATCTGGGTGCCCTCTGTTGCCCAAGCCCCCGCGTGCCTCTGAATGAGCACAGCTGCAGACCCCTCAGCCGCTGCAGCTGGTGCTGAACCAGGGGTGGGGGGCGGGGCCTGCGCCCTGAGTGAGGCAGGGCCATTGCTCAGACAACCTTCTGCAGATGCTTGGGATCAGCCACACCCAGGCAGCAAACACAGAGAACAATGCACCCCATTTCTCTTCTGGGGAAATGAAGGTGATTTGCCAAATGTAAGAGAACACCTCGTGATGCTGTTAGCAAATCTACTCTGGGCCTGGCCCGGGGGAGGCTGCCCACCTGAATTCCCCGGCAAGCCTGGCACAGTGCCTGTTCGCAGAGAAAAACACCCCTGGCGCTACCCTGCTCTTCACCAGGTACCCCAGGAAGGGTCTGCAGGGCGTGGGGCTGCCCCCACACTGCCCCCCGAGAGAGCACGAGTGGTCCTGACAAAGA